TTTATTCAGATAGTTTCAGGTATGATAAGATAATTGTGCATAGTGGCACCAGCTGATCATATGGCATATTCAAACTCTAGTACATGTACATAGTGGAATTAAACCATACACCACTGTTGGACACCATTATTGAAATTATTATTCTGATAAGAATATTCCTCCATGCAGACTGCAACAATTAGCAAAACCTACATGTATACTGCATAGTAAGCTATAAACGACCACGAAATGACAAATGTAAAACAATAAAACTAAAGCAGCCTGATTAATGTACAAAGCAATTACGAAAATTAAATATGATATACATGTATATACAGCAACAATCAACAATCACCAAACTCCTGGGTCCTCACTATGGACAGGTGCATATAGAATGTGGCGGGTTAAACATGTTAGCTGGCACAAAACCCCTAATATGGGACAGTGTATGTGCATAATCTCAGACATTGAATCTTTAAAAAATAAATTGGAAATAACTTTCGAAAGTGGTAGGATTGGATAGCAGAAACATTACGATACAAACATTATTTGATACTTGAGAAATAGCTGAGATAAACATTTTCCCAATTCTTCTACAATATTCACCTTAACATCTGCCAAGTTTGCCTTTGGTTTTATAATTAACTGCCTATAGCGCCCTTGGTGCTTTGATTATAGTTTGTTCTTATGTTGCACTGTTACACCACTGTCCCAGGTTAGGGGAGGGTTGGTGCCTTCAAACTAGTTTAACCCCGCTACATTCCATATGTGCCTGTCCCAAGTCAGGAGCCTGTATTTCAGTGATTGTTGTTTATTGCTCTATATCATATTTGTTTTTAGTTCATTATTTTGTACATAAATTAGGTCGTTAAGTTTTTTTGTTTGAATTGTTTTACATTTGTCATTTCGGGGCCTTTTATAGCGGACTATGCGGTATGGGTTTTACTCATTGTTGAAGGCAGTACGATGACCTATAGTTGTTAATGTCTGTGTCATTTGGTCTCTTGTGGAGAGTTGTCTAATTGGCAATCATACCACATCTTCTTATTTTTATATGACAGACAGAAACTTAGAAACATAAGCATCTATCTTCTGAAATATAAAGCATTATACAAATAGTTTATACTATCGCTACCTCTGGATATTAATCCCTATAAGCATTTTGTGACAAAAACCAAATTGTAGGAAACATCCACAAGAGTGCACATGCTGAAATGTCTCGCCTTCTTAACCATTGATTTTATGTTGATGGTCCCAAATACAAAGCTTTATTACAAGTAACACATAAACTTAACATGATCCAAGAAAATGAGGTCAAGGTCAGATAAACCAAACGAGAAATACATGTACACCTACAATGATTCAATAAACCAAACATAGTTGACCTATTGCTTATTGTTTCTAAGAAACAGTCTTAAACAAGAAAACTTAACATTGACCAATGAACCATGAAAATGAGGTCAAGGTCAGATGAACCATGCCAGACAGACATGTACACCTTACAATCAATTTAGGCATTAAATATAGTTGACCTATTGCTTATAGTATCTTAGAAACAAACTTAACCATGAAAACTTAACATTGACCAAAGAAACCATGAAAATGAGGTTAAGGTCAGATGATACCTGCCAGACAGACATATACACCTTACAATCCTTCCATACATCAAATATAGTTGATCTATTGCTTATAGTTGGAAGAAAAACAGACCAAAACACAAAAACTTAACACTGAGAAATGAACCGTGAAAATGAGGTCAAGGTCAAATAAAACCTGTGAGACTGACATGTACATCATAAAATATTTCCATACACAATTTATAGTTGACCTATTGCATATAGTATTAGAAAAAAGTACCAAAACTCAAAAACTTAACTTTGACCACTGAACCATAAAAATGAGGTCAAGGTCAGATGACACCTACCAGTTGGACATGTACACCTTACAATCATTCCATATACCAAATATAGTAGACCTTCTGCTTATAGTAGCTGATATATGGACTTGACCACGAAAACTTAACCTTGTTCACTGATCCATGAAATGAGGTCGAGGTCAAATGAAAATTGTCTGACGGGCATGAGGACCTTGCAAGGTACGCACATACTAAATATAGTTATCCTATTACTCATAATAAGAAAGAAATTAACATTACAAAAAATGTTGACCTTTTTTTCAAGTAGTCACTGAACCATGAAAATGAGGTCAAGGACAATGGACATATAACAGACGGAAACTTTGTAACATAAGGCATCTATATACAAAGTATGAAGCATCCAGGTCTTCTAGCTTCTAAAATATAAAGCTTTTAAGAAGTTAGCTAATGCCGCCGCCGGATCACTATCCCTATGTCGGGCTTTCTGCAACAAAAGTCGCAGGCTCGACAAAAACCAGTTATCCAAAGGAAAATGCACTAGGGCTGATTCATTAGAACTACATACGCCACAGGGAAGACATTTCAAAATCAACCAATGGTGGGTGTCAAATACAGTTCATATTATGAAATTCTAAAATTTCCTCTTTAGGTGGTTATCCCATTTTCGAAGTGCCTAACCATGTATGATTGAATTAAACAACTTCAAGATAACCAAAAATAAACATTTACAAAATCATAACGAATACCAAAGCCAGGGGCAAGAGTGCCATTTTGTTTAAGAAAATTTCACATACTCCATCATTTTATTCCCAGACACTGAGCTGACCAGTCTTTGCTCTTGCTCCTAATTGCTGAGTGCTTTGCAGAGAAGTAGCAAATCAATATTTTAGTCATTTGCTCTACCCAGCCAAAGATCAAACTGGGGCACATGAGAGTGCAGGTCCTTATTGTTTCAAATTATATTGTGATTTTGATATATGTTGCATAGTATGTAAAACCCTATATAAATATAAGCAGGAAATGAAAAGTTACCTTCTTAACTTCAAATCTGATATTATCACAATATTTGGGGAATTTAATGGGAAAAAAATAACTTGTAGTTGTACATAAATATAATATATATATACAGAAAGTGAAATGAATTTTTCAATAGGGAAAATTTTACCTACCGGGTACTTGTTAAAAACTGGTCCTATTGGTGGTTGAAAGAGAATAAGGTCAAAGTACTAACTGCATTGATTTTCTGCTGAACCTTTCAAGTAACTTCTTCTGTTTCTCATAGACCACTTCATGTTAAGCAAGAAATATGAGCAGTAAATACAAAGGAGTAAGTTAGGTAATGGTCATATTTGGCTCCTAATATTAAGTTAATTGTCTGAAGATAAACATTGTTTCAAGCAGATGAAAAGACATGTAAAGAAGTTAAACAGAACTTTTTTGGTGTAGTTTTTGTTTTTAAAAAAGCTTAATATTTGCAACCCAAATACATCAAAAGTAGAGATTTTGATGAACATTGAAAAAATCATCTGGATATCTACCAAATTTAGGCCAAGGAACAGAGCACAGGCATCGACAAACTAAATATTCAAATCAGATATGTAAAATGTTACAATAAACAATTATTAAAAGATCTTTCTTGGTTATGCATGCACTCTATGTTTCCAGTCCAAAAAAAAAAACAATGGAAATTTACCAGTTTTCTTTAATTTTCATGGATAACCAATATTTGGGCTATTTGTGACGTCCTGAATAGAATGCTTATATATAAATTTTCAGGTATATTTCCTACCTTGTCAATGTTTTAACTATGATGCTTTGTAATATTTGTCAATAATTCCTAATTTGAAATTTAAGCTAGAAATAAGGGTCATTTTAGAGCCTTATCGAATCCTACTCCTTTATCTTTTTTACTTTATATCATTAAAATATATACAAAATTTTTTTAATGATACAATTTGCCAAAATACCACAACTTCAATGTCAAATGTTTCCAAATTTCTTTAAAAACACAATTGTCACTGGAAATTTCTATTGGACCAATCTCATATTTTACGTCCTTGACTTAAAAAAATTCCTCCAATTTCCAACCCACTGAAGACTCAAGTGTAACAAAAGAACGTCAAAGGAATATATTCAGTTTCTCCATATTGCTTCAGATGACCATGACCTTTGACCTTGAAGTTGGGCAAAATTCAAGCACTCCCAACCACTAAGCGGATAACATTTAATTAAGAACAGAGGTCTAATTATATGCCAAAAAATATTTTTGTAGGTATCGGAATTTTTCAGAAAGATTTGATGCAAATCCAATAACATATTGTAAAGAAGCATTTTCTTAATGTCTACCATTTTGATGTTTAAATCATTTGTGTAATCATGATAAAGGCCCTTAGTATTCTTTCAAAATGAAACAAAAAAAGAAGAATAACTGAAGTGAAATCATTTGATTAACTTTTGAACTCTTTTTTTTGTGTTTCCCCCATAAAAATCACTAAAAAAATGATAGCAGTGTAATCAAACATAAATATTATTTGTACAGAAAGCAGCCTTCTTTGTACCATATATTGAACAGTGAGACAAAATGTCCAAAATTCAGTGCAATTCAAATCAATTCAGTGAATCATTACCATTCTAATGAGAATAAGAAGAAATAATGAACATTTTTTTGCTTAATCTCCCAAATCATGCTGCGACTATTATTGGGAATTTACACCTGTCAGACTTTGAAATTGAAAAGTGTCCAAGCATTTCCAAAAGCCAAGCAGTGGACATGGTTCTGATGAACCCTAGTTGCAAAGCTGGACCTTTTCTGATGCCTTATAAGAGTGTTATTGAGGAAGGACATGCTATTTGTCCATCTACAGTAATTATCCTCAAAGTTCAATCCAGTGAACAAAGAAGGCCACTTATAGTACGAACAATATTTAAATGTTTTTCATATACGCCAGAAAACAACATATCATTCCAATTTGCAATATATATGTCCATCTTCAGACAATTGAAATTGAACAGGACATTCTTTTGATAAATTGCTTAGTAATTATAGAATTTTAGAAAAGAAGGTTGCTGAAATCCACAAGAAGTATAATAATACTCCAATACTTATAGCATGTATATTTGAGTTAAAAGGCTGAAATTCTCCATGTAAGATTTAATAATTTTAATATTTCATCACATATTCACTAAAATCTAGATAAATGTATTTCATTTGTTTTTCTTTAATTGTTTCATTTTCTTTTTTATCTTTTTATCCACCTTTGTTTCATTATACCCTGTCAATGAAGCATAGCCTTCAATATTAGACATACTGGATCCTTTAAATGCAGTTTGTAATTCCTTCATAACTTTTGGTACCATAGGGATACCTTGTCCTGTCTCTGTTGGACTCATTTTACTCCCATCAAGTAAATTTTTCTCACTGGATTTTGATTGTCCTTTTTTCTTATTTTTCTTTCTTTTTCTTTTTGATTTCTCTTTATTTCCTTCTTTATTTGCTAAATCATTCTGTTTATTTGAACTACAGTTATCACCTGAAGTTTTTATAGTTTTATTTTTGTTTTTCTCTTGTGACTTTTTCTTATTTTTTCTTTTCTTTTTCTTTTTGTTTTCTTCTTCTGAAGTCAAATTCGAAATTTCTTTGGGTGTATCTTTTTGTTTATTGAAATGGTCATCCAAAACAAATTCAGGACAATGTTCTTTTGTGAAGTTACCTAAAGCATTCATTAATTTTGCTTTCTGAATTCTTTTATCAACAAACTCTTGATCATTTCTATCTTTGCTTTTTCTCTTCTTCTTCCTTTCACTTGCTCCAGTACTTTCATCACTACCAGTAAGTCTGTCCCTTAAATTTCTTTCGGTCTCATTCTGACCTTGAACTAGTTCCTCTAAATGTTCCGTTTTGTCTTCCTCTGAACAAATCTTTCGCTTCTTTCTCTTTTTGTCACTTGTACTTGCTTCAACTTGTTCCTCTGTGTTCATATCCCTTTCATTTTTACTTAACTTAGATTTCTTTGATTTTTTTACATCATTCTGGCAAGTTTCAACCGCATTTTCTTCAATTGTTTGTTCTTTATCAACCTTTTCATGCTTTCTTTTCTTATTTTTCTTCTTTATGGACTTTGAATCTAACTCTTCATCACTACTTTGAAAATCTATCTTTTCTTCATCGCTGTTTGATTTGCTGTCTGTACTATCTTCATCTATACCAATCATAAAACTTACACGTTTAGATGATGAATTGCTGACTGAATCATCAGAAGATTTGTCATCCAGAAAACTTGCATTTTCTTTATCATGACCTTTCAATATAGAATGTAATTCTGGTTCACTAGAACTTCTGCCTTTTTTTAAAATTGTCATTTTCTTAGCAAAGTAATCTTGAATGCTCTGTTCACTGTTAACTGTAATAAATCCACCTTTAACTTTCTCCTTGGGATCCATATCACTTTCGTTATCTGGAATTTCCTGTAATTGAATAAAAATATTTAATATTCTATGAAATTTGAATATTATACCTAGGTATAAAGGATGAAAATACAAAGCTGGAAAAACTAAATCAATTGGAACATTCTACCCAAATTATACATCTGCATGTTAGGATTGAACAATATACAAAGTTCAATTTTTTTGCAATAAACCAAGAAGGAGTAGCTGAAATGACTAAAAGTGCAGGAAAACCTATTTTTTTAATTCAAATTTCTGTGATCAATTGGACATTTTTCTGGAAAAACTCAATTAACAAGAAGCTCATTTTCTTATTAAGATACAACAATGTATAAGCCTTATGTTAAATATCCAACAAACATGCAAGAGGGAAAACAATGACCAGATGTATGCTGGACAAGACCAAAATTGTATATTCAAATGTGCCCAATTGCCTATGATGATGTTTTAATATCATGATCAATTTATCTGCAGTAATAGTTTCTGTTCATCTCTTTATATTTTCTTGCACTGCATTCAATATCAACAATAAACTTCAAATGTTGACTCATTCACATTGTTTTATCAAGAGCCACTTCACTGTGACAGCTTACACATCATACTTTATTGTGCATAGATTTATTATGAGTTAAAACAAGAATATCAGTCCATAGAACACCCCCAGCTTGAACTATAGATTTCCTTGTTCAGTGAACCATGACATCAGGGCCAAAATTAAAATTTGTATATAATTCAAAAAGTTCACATGATAATGAACATGTGTACTAAACTTCAAGTTGATGTGACTACAATGTCATGGTAAACCAACTTGACCAAACACTTAACCTAGTAAGGGCGGGCGAATGATGAAATAACGAACAGAAGGATACAGACCAGAAAACACATAATGCCCCCACTACTATTGTATGTGGTGTATAAAATCCTCTTGAGTACATTTCACTCATTATGAGAACATCTAGATAGTTTTCTTATTAAAAAATTCCGATCAGTGTAGAATTTGCAAGTCAATCCTTACTGAGCCTGTGGTATCTTCTGTTTTTGTTGTACGTCTACCAAATATACAATCAAGGTCTTGACTGGATTTTGCAGAAAGGTCTTTACCTTTTGTAAACTTCTGGTAACTGAAATATGACAAGATAAATCACTATGAAAAAAGGTAGAGAACATGATGTCATTTAATTACCAATCAAATACCATAGAAAACTTATACTAATGGAAAATTGTACACATTTTAGCATGTTTGCCATATCATCTTCAAAGCTATTATTAATATCACAAATAAATATCATTTTATAAGTACAAATTGACTCTGGTAATAATAAAGTTGTAAATAGTTTGTTAATTCACAGAAAGTTTATGTACATGTTTCATGCTATTTGCAGTGATTTGTCATCTGAGAAATTATTTTTACGTTCTTTTTTAATCTGTAAAACACAACTAAACACATGTCAAGAAACCTCTTTTACGCAACAATAAATAAACCTATGCAATTTGTTTGTATTACATGTACTGATTTGGATTGGACAATATCATCTTTTTTTCACTAAAATGGCAGATCTAAAAATTAATTTAAAAGACAATTATCAATTTTTATACCCGTCTACATAAATATTAGCATTAATACGTTTGTTACAAGTCATTTCGTCATAGGAACAAAAATTCAATTACATGTGACATCATTTGCTAGTCGGTACTCATGCATCATTTGATGTTTTGACAAGAAAAATATATCGAACAAGTGTAGAAATTTTTTAGACTCTGTAAACACCTTAATCAATTCATTTTATTACAAAACATTTGTTTTGTATTTCTTAGGATTTTCATACTCGGTTGTTTTTTTAATTCTTGCCTTACTCAACATTGTTACAAGCGACAGGTGCTTTTTGATAAAACCAATAATGATACATAAAATCTGGAAATTTTCCAGATGACACAAACCTATTTTATCATTTAAATAGAAATATCTTTTAACAAACGAGATTATAAAATAATTTCTCAGCTTAAAAACAAACACACTTACTGTACACGACTTTTCGATGTTTTTGATTTGTTTTCAAGACTAGATACTTTATCAGTATCATTCTGTGTGTTAGATTGATTAAGGTTGGCTAGGAGAGCATTAAAGTCATCCTGGTGTGCTATCCAGTTATCTACTTGACTTTTAGAACATCCAAGACCTTAAAAAAAAAGACATTAAAAGAGATATCAATTTTATTATGTCTTACATCTTAAAACTGTAGAATTCTTTAACTGTCACATAAGATTCATGTGCGCATAAAAGGGTCTTACAAAGTAGACACTTTCCTGACCACCAAGCTTATACTTGTAATTATGTACTTTGCAGACCAAAATTTGTTCATGTTGGAAAAATTGTTTTCGTTAGGTTTTGATGTAACAATATTTTCAATGTACTGGCAGTATGGCCCGAGAACACAGTTATTTCGTAGCGTATTTATTTTAGGCAATAAATTCAAATTAAAAAAAATCGCACCCGTTCTATCTCAAAAAGATTTTTACAGTGTAGTGTACTACTATTGGGACAAATAATATCAAAATTATAGAAAAGTCTACCTGCTCTAAGGGGACGACCATTTGATATTCTGGGGGGGGCCAGGAGGATTTGTTTTTGATCGGTTTTGTAAACTAAGAGGACAAATTATCTATTTTCTGCACTGTTGAAGCAAGATTTTTCATTTTCATTAAAGCAAGGGACTGATTATTTATTTTCACAACTATATTTATAATATTTGAAAACATACAATTTTTAAATTCATTTTTTATTATAAATAATACATGAATAGTCCAATCATTATGTACCATTTAATCAGAATTGATCATCATCTTCTGTAGAAATGAATCTTCTGAATTCCCAACTGCATATACATGTATTGCATACATACAAGATATTAAAGTTTGGCTGTAATTAGTGTCTTTTAAAAGTATTGCAAAAGCATTTATGCCGAGCGGAGCGAGGCTAAAAAAAATTTGAAGGGTTTTGGAGCCGCTGAAGGCCCCAAGTTGCTATAGAACTAATGATGCAAAATGTGTTTCCCATACCCTTTCTTAATCTGAAAATGAAAGTTCTGTTTTAATCATTTTTTGACAATATTTTGGTCTCAAAGCAACATGTATAAATTCAGTGTAAGACTTAAGTTTTTAGAAACAACATCAAAAGACAAAGATAAAGCAAAAATTTAATTCACATAGTTAAGTATGTGGCTGCTGTTTTTTTTAAACTCTTGATCAAGTTAATAACAAAATTACTAAATTACAAAAGGAATGCAACACTAACAGAATACAGAAGGGCAATCAATGAACAAAAGACAAATAAATAAGAAACATTGATCCCCAAAAAACAGAAGCTACGTCTGAGGGAGAACAGAACTTGCTTCTTGCAAGACACTTGCCGTGAAAACAATTTGATATGAAGACAAGCTTTTGGTTTTGAAATTTCCTACATGAGGCATTTGCCTGAATGTAGTTACTGCCATATGTAATAAAAGTGAGTTCAGTGTTCCTGAGACAATAAACCTCAAGTTAAATGAAACCCATTTTTCAGACATTTCAAGTATTTTAAATAATATTTATACTTTTATTATTCAAAGATTTGGGAAGTGATTCCCGATTTTTTTTGAAAAAAAAGTTGAATTTTATGAAGAATCTGGTGCAATCTCATGCTCTCAAATAGACCTGCCGAGTTATTTATTTTTAATACATTGCAAGTCAGGTTATTTATTTTCAAACTACCACAGAACAAACCATTTATTTTTTGTGATTATCAAGGCTGAGTTATTTATTTTCAAAATCCTCCTGGCCCCCACCAGAATATCAAATGGTCGTCCCCTAACTCAAAATATTGACAATTCTATGTTAAGGGGGTCTAAAATTCAGTTTGACAGCTTCAGACATACTAATTTTTGACTTTTTTAACTGGACCAAATCATTACTTAACATAAAGATTCAGCACCCAAATTTTTTTAACATGTAATTTCATCCCCTTACTTAATATTTTATGCATAAAATATAAAGAAATAAATTTGGAAAGTGTATGAAAAAAATTCGCAAGTTATACACTGTCCACACTAGGGACTATATGTGTAGACAACGAAAATCAAAGGACCATAACTGTGTCCTCGGACCTAATACGATTGTCTAAGTTGTTTTTGTACCCAATGTTTGAGTTGCTTATATTTGTTTCTCATGTTACTAATTCAAGAGTTTTTTCATTTTTTTATAAAGTGGCTGTCTAATTTTCATTAATTTACAGAACAGGATAGATGAAACTAATTGTCATGATTGTTGCAGCTGTATTCCATGTTTTTTACTGGGATGTTGAAAAGGCTCACGGACTAGTTGGTTAAGTTTTGCTTTAAATTCTTGCCAAAGTTCATCAACAGTATGTGTGTTAAGCTTTTTTTGTATTGTATAATTGAGGTTATTTACTTTTTTTTTTATTGTGTCCCAGTTTGCTTTGTTGTAAAATGGTGCATTCCTTGGTGTCTGCTTTAGCTAAATAAGACATCACATCAAAGCTTTTCTTAATCCAATTTATATAATTCCATTATAATTTAAAATAAATTTTGAACAACCAACAGACAAAATTAATTCTAACCGTGATTGTCGTTTTTCAGAGATACTTTTACATGATCTACTAGCCCGTCTTCTTTTGCCCCAAGTCCCTTTCCTTTAGACCATCCAAACTTCTCCAACATCTTCTGTCCAAATTTAGATTCATCTGAAATATTTCAAGAAGTTAAAATAAACAATTTATGTTGGTTTTTGAAATATAAAATTAAACTGCTTATTATCTAGATGCACTGTCAATCAAAACAGTTCACTACATTCATTATTTGAGGGGAGTTCCAACTTAGTTTATTTTGCAGGAAAGGAACAAAAAAAAAAAACACAGCGAAATCCAGTTCAGTTTTTAATAAAGAAGATTTTCCAATTCAGATTTTAATTCATGAACTGCCCCGTTTGAACTGGGGTCATTTGGTGGGAAACTTGTCATAGGACAATGTGACAGAAAGATATTTGCTTTGTGACATCAAATTTTCCGCAAAAAAGCACAAATCGGAGGATCATGTATTGATTGGACTACCTGATAACTCAGCCCATAACAAACCTGGACTATAATAAAATCCACCTCACAAAATCAGCATGTTAGTTAAATTGCAAACTTCGACTACTAGAAGACTTCAAAGGGAAAATTCACTATTTTTTACTTATAGTTTAAATATGTTCATTATAACATAAAACACATATTCACAAAGTTTTATCACTATATCATGTATATGTGCAGTAATAAAGAAGAAAATCAATAATTAATAATTTTTTTATTGACTACTTCCTGTAGTACGTGGCGTTAACTCCTGGTATTGCATGTGGGAATTTAAAGTACAATCATTTAAAGTCTTGGTCTTTAATCATATTTTAACGTAATCTTTAGCGCGCTGATGACTAATTTTGAAAGCTAATTACCATCTGCTAGTAAGAAAATAAAACGAACAGACATGCAACTTTTTACATTCATGAGATAAAATTTTCTATATTTACCGTATATATTTCGATTTTTTACATGTTGACAGCGCAAAAAGTAAATCTTTTATTTTTTTTTTTAAATTTACTTTTTCAACGAATATGGTGAAAAAAAAATAGAGAATATAACTTTAACTGTAAGGACAATAAGACAGTCTATTATAAGTCACGGTATGTTTTGACCCTTAATTCAAGCAAACATTTCTACGCTAGGACTATGTTAATACAATGTGTATTATTCCCTGGCAAAACCCGTGGAAGGCTTGATAAATGAAATGCTTTGCTGAGCGCAGCCTTATACGACCACAGTGGTCGAACCCTGAACAGTTGGGGCAAATTTGGACACAATATTCAAGCTTAATACTATCTGAATTTGGATTGTGATAAAATTTATGACATAATATAGGTTTCTGACACAAAATAAATGTGGTCAAAGATCTTACAAATCTAATGTGCAATACTGTGCAATTGAAGATTTCTTCTTGAAACTTTTCAAAAATTGGAAATTTTTGAAAACAAAATATGAACCCTTTTCAAGTAAAATGCTTCGCTGAGCGCAGCCTGATACGACCGCAGTGGTGGAACCCTGAACAGTTGTGGCAAATTTGGACACAATACTCAAGCTTGATAGTATCTGAATTTGGATTGTGATAAAATTTTTGCCATAATAAAAGTTTCTGACTCAAAATAAATGTGGTCAAAGATTTTACAAATCTAATGCGCAATACTGTGCAATTGAAGATTTCTCCTTAAAATTTTTCAAAAATTTGAAATTTAAAAATGTTGAAAAAAAAATACGAACTGATTAAAAAATATTGGAAACCCCCCCTTTCAAACTTTTTGAATCCCCCTTGGAGCATTAATCATCAAACTCAATCCCAGTCTTTCCTTTGTAGTATGGAACCTTGTAGTACAATATTAGAGAGATCCATACACTTTTATTTAAAAACATAAGTTATTGTCTGGAAACTTTAAAAATGATTGTTTTGGCTCTTTTTTTGCACTTAATTCCTGCATGTTTGGGACAACTACCCCCAAACTCAATCCCAGCCTTCCCTTTGTGATATGGAACCTTGATGTACATGTACAATGTCAGACAGATCCATACACTTATTACACAAGCTATTGTCTGGAAGCTACAAAAATGCTTGTTTTAGGCCCCTTTTTGACCCTTAAATCCTAATCTGTTGGCACCATAACCCCCAAAATGAATCCCAACCTTGTACTTGTGGTATTAAACATTGTGATACAATTTCAGAGCAATTGAAATACTTATACTCAAGTTATTATCCTGAAAGTAGAAAAATGCTTGTTTCGTGTCCCTTTTGGGCTCCTAATTCATAAACGGTTGGGACAATCATCTGCCAAATAAATCCCAATCTTCCTTTTATTGTATTGAACCTTCTTAAAAAAATTTATAGAGATCCATTCACGTAAACTAAAGTTATTGTTCGGAAAATGTGTTTTCAGTTGATGACGATGCAAACGACATCATAGCACTATATGAACCCATACTAAATTTTGCAGTTTTATATAAATTGCTATTCAAAAGATAATGGAAAATTAAGCGCATATTTTAAATTTAAATTTGCTTTCAAAATTTCCAATGGACTTTGTAACCATAAAAGCCCATTTAAATACATCATAAAAGTATAAAAATAGAAAATGACATCATAGTCATGGCTAAAATGAGAAAACCTTGATCAGCAAAATTTAATAGTAATATCTAAAAATAAAATTCCTTTGTCAACATATAATATAACTTCAAAAAATAAATGTACAGCTAATCACTTCAAGAGATTACAACATTTCTTTATAGGTGTCAGACCACCAATTACTCCCTCTAATTTAGAACGTATGTAAAAGTAGCCCTACTCTGACACAAAATAGTGCTTTTGATGTCCTTGTTTACTTAAACTAACCAACAAATTTGCAGAAATGAAACTTTTGGTGAAAGAGAAATATATTGAGACCATTTTGAGCCAAAATTTACTTGTCTATGAGTTTGCATTAAAAATTGAGGATTAATGCACTCCATAGTATACTAATTTAAGATTTCCAGAAAACCAGGGGTTATTTTTGGAGTACCTCTTTTTGAAGGTCAGTTTTTTTCTTAGAAGGCTTTAAATGTATGTTGAAAATTGGCATGCAGAAAGCTGATACATGTACAATTCAGGATATACCTGGTTTCTATGAAGTTAAACTTAAGGTAAAATATTTAGAAAGCTATGAAAATTGCAAAATTTGGTTGAACAGATATAAGGGATATTTAATTGGTGGTCTGACACCTTATAATTTTCCATTTTAAATTGGTTATTTCTGATTTATATGTAAAAGCAAATAATAATAATATGGTTTGAATAGGTCAATTAATAATTTATAAGTTCTTAGACAACATTCATTCTGTGTCAGAAACCTATGCTGTGTCAAATATTTAATCACAATCCAAATTCAGTGTGTATCAAGCTTGAATGTTGTGTCCATACTTGCCCAAACTTTTCAGGGAACGACCTCTGCGGTCGTATCAAGCTGCGCCCAGCGGAGCATTTTATTCTATTCGTAAACACACATAACTCTAGAACAGTTGTGTGTAAGTTTTATAACATTTGGTTGATACAAACTAAAAAAATCAGCATTTTTTATGTTTATAAAGGGACATAACTCAAGAATGGTAAAAGTGTTGCCACCAAATTTCGTACTTAATCTGTATTATGTAGTAATAAGCATTGTGTATAAGTTTCATAACATTTGGTTGAGGCAAACTAAAGTTAGAAAACGGAAACAAAAAATTTGTACTTGATCTTAGTTTTTTGGTAATGAATATTGTGTATAGGTTTCATAACGTTTGGTTGGGGCAAACTTAAGTTACAGAATGCAAACAAAAACTTTTGCAATCTTTCGAAATATAAAGGGGCATAACTCAATAATGGTTAAAATGACACTACCCAAATTCAACTTGATCTGTGTTTTATCACTGGAAGTCAAAATTAAACATTGCATTGTATAAAGCATTGATTGTAGTTGATTCAACTATAATCATGGACAAAGGAAGATAACTCCAATTTTAAAATTACTTGACATTTAGAAGAAAATAAAAATTTTGCAATTTTTCCATTTATAAAGGGCCATAACTCTAGAACAGTTAAAGAGACGCCACCAAATTTCAAACTTGATCTGTGTTTTTTGGTAATAAGCATTTATGTATAAGTTTCATAACATTTGGTTGAGGCAAACTTAAGTTAAAGAACAGAAACTAAAAATTTTGCAATTTTTCCATTTATAAAGGGGCATAACTCTAGAACGGTTAAAGTAATGCCACCAAAATTCAAACTTGATCTGTGTTTTGTGGTAATATGCATTGTGTATAAGTTTCATAACATTTGGTTGAAGCAAACTTAAGTTAGAGAACGGTAAACTAAAAGTTTTGCAATTTTTCCATTTATAAAGGGCATAACTCTAGAACGGTTAAAGTGACGCCACCAAAATTCAAACTTGATCTGTGTTTTGTTGTAATAAGCATTGTGTATAAGTTCCATAACATTTGGTTGAGGCAAACTCAAGTTAGAGAACGGAAACCAACTTTGGGACGTACGTACAAGGGTAAAACTTAATGCCCCCTCCGCTACGGCGGGTGCATAAAAAAGAAGAAAATTATGACTGATTTCAGTTAATATAGAAAAGTTACCACTTGTTTTCCCTTTTCTTAAATTTGTTTCATATGCAAGACTTATTTTAATGAACATGACCTATGACAACAGCTGAATACTGCAATGTGTACAGTTGACACCTTTTTAATTACCTTTAAACTAATTACAAACGGGTGTACAGTTGACACCTTATTAATTACCTTTAAACTAATTACTGGAGGGTGTACTGTTGACACCTTTTTAATTACCTATAAACTAATTACTGGCACTTGTACTGTTGACACATTTTCTATCACCCATAACACTAATTAAGAAAATAACTACCTGTAATTACATGACATTGTAATTAACCAAATGTCCACTGACTTCACAACTACTGGGGCTCTATGTGTGATATTGATGCTTTTTGTGTACTTTGTTTATCTTATTATATAGTTCTAAGTTATCAAAAAATTACATATAATAAAAGTTTGCACATAAAACTCAGGCTACCTGTTTGATGTGATCATTGTAATATTATTACCCTTTATCCTAATTAATCCATTTAAAAAAGCCATTAACTGTCAATCAAAGTTTACTTTGATTGAAAACCAATTATGAACACTAGAGATTAAACACAATAAAAACATACACACACACACACACACTCCAACCATTAAAAAACACCAGTTTACCAACATGAAATAAATTGCTTCGCCGAGCACAGCTGGATACGACCGCAGAGTTCCAACCCTGAACAGTTGGGGCAAAAATGGACAAAATATTCTCGCTTGATACAGGTCTGAATTTGGATTGTAATTAAATATTTGACACATAAATGATAATAGGTTTCTGACACAAAATAACTGTAGTCAAAGAACTTAGAATTGGTTATATGATTTGAATTTATATTCAGTTTTTTGCTTTTGTGCAATACACTATGCTGTTGCGAATTGACACCCACCCCCCTCCAAAAAAAAAAAAAAAATAACCCCCCCCTTTTTTTTTTGCTTTTGTGTAATACACTATGCTGTTGCAAATTGACCCCTCCCCCAAAAAAAAAATAAATTTGAAGAAATTTTCTTTTTAATTTCTGAAATCTGAAATGAGAAAAAATTGTCACCTCCCCTCACAATTTCTTTTTTACCCCCCCCCCCCCCCTTTTTCCCAAAAAAATTCTTTCCCTCAAGATCAAGATATGGTCATAATCTCAATTCAAATTTCCAATGGAGTTTGCAACCATAATTACCCATTTAAATACATCATAAGTCTTAAAATAGAATATGACATACATAATCATGGCTAAAATTAATATTCCTTACTCAGCATTTTTAAAAAGTAACTTCTAAAAATAAATTGACAGCTAATCACCTCAAGACAATACAATATTTCTGTATACATAATTTAAAAGCAGTGTAAAGGAGGTTATCCAAACAAAATATAGTACTTTTTTTCAATTGTCCATTAACCATGTGTTAACCAGGAAACCCTTGTTTTTCCCACTTTTTTGCCCCTAATTCCTAAACAGTTTGAGCCATAACCCCCCAAAGCCAATCCTGACCAGGGCTTCCAAAATTATTTTTAGCCAGCCGGACATTTTATATATTATCCCAATTTTAATCCCTCAAGACAAAATAAACAAAAGGCAATTATGGTAATCAGTTGCCGAGTTGGCCATCCCAATGATTGACATTCATATGACATAAAAAAAAAACTTTGATTCAAATTCGAAGTTCTGACGTAAAGTGTTAAATTGGCAGTGCATCATTCGAAGTGTGCAACATCGGCGTACTTATATCTGCCTTAGACTCTTTATTTGTGCAAAATAATGTTGTCAAAAACTTTACTTTCGTTTTTAAATCTAATACCAGATGTTATCTTGACAATGTTAAAACATGGACCAGAGACGGATACGTAAATTCCGTGTACGTTTGCAAAGCATGAATGAGTGGAAGTAGCTCTTTCTACGTTATTTCTTCAAGAAAATATTCGAAATAAACATGAGATAAAGGTATCAATGACAATTTAAGCATTTTTTGAAGAAATTAGGATGCATAATTAAATTTCACACCTGCGCACACGTGTACTAGTTCGAACAGAGACATGTCTCTAGGTTCAAACAACATGGTTATGACGATTTTTCATTTTCACCTTTTTAATTTTTTCATCAAATCATATTTGTGAATGTATTTCCGATAATTTAAATCTTTTTGACTAAATTAATTAGATGCAAACCGCTGAAATGTAAGAAAAAAACTTTGAATAGACCGATCAATGTCCGGTTCAAAATAGTTACCTGTCACCTGAACAGGTAAATTTCAGCTGTTCGACAACTAATTAGCCTTGATTAAAATGAGAAGGTATTAAAGCAGGGGTTGTTTTGATAGTACTTAATGATCATGTCACTTTTATGACCAGAAATGTGTGGCTGTTAAAGGCAAACGGTTGGGTCAAAAAGATCGCGAATTATGTTAAAATGACCGTCTTTTAAGAAAGCCTTGAAAACTAAAGAGTAGATGACCGTTTCATGCTTTGCCCAGCCGGACTTTTACTGGACATTATACAAATGTCCGGAATATATGACCGTTTTGGAAGCCTTGATCCTGACCATCCCTTTGGGGTATGGAAACTTGTGGTATAATTTCAGAGAGATCCATACACTGTTCCACAAGTTATTGTCTGGAAACTAGAAAAATGCTTTTTTGGGCCCCATTTTGGCCCCTAATTCCTAAAGGGTTTGAGCCATAACCCCCCTAAGCCAATCCTAACCATCCCTTTGTGGTATGGAAACTTGTGGTATAATTTCAGAGAGATCCATACACTGTTCCACAAGTTATTGTCATGAAACTAGAAAAATGCTTATTTGGGCCCCTTTTTGGCCCCTAATTCCTAAACTGTTGGGACCATAACCCCCAAAATCAATCCCAACCTTCCTTTTGTGGTTATAAACCTTATGTTTAAATTTCATAGATTTCTATTTACTAATACTTAAGTTATTGTCCGGAAACCAAATGTCTTCGGACGACGACGACAACTTCGTGATACCAAAAAAAATGACATATTAATTATTTCAACATTTATAAATCAAGATATTTTTTATTGAAGTTTTTAATTTTTTAAAACAAAAAATGCATTTGAATCTTATTTATCTAAGGCATGCTATGCCTTAAAACTATTCCAGATTCACAGGTTTGTCTGTAGTAATATTTGAGGTGTAAACACAGCCATTTTAGCCACAAGGTCTACATGAACCTTAAGTTAAATAAAAATAATGTAGAAAAACAGTAAAACCACAATATACAAAACAGAGTTTGTTCACTTTAAATCTTTAAATACTGATGGTAGGCCGTTTGTATTATTATTATCCCAAATGAGGGATATCCCTTTCAGGTTCATGTGGACCCTTTGGCTAAAATGGCTGCAATTTCACCTCATTATTTACTCGGAGTACAGTCGAATCTGTGCCTCTGGAATTAAATTTTTAATTTCAGGCATAGCTTGCTCTAAATAAATAAAATTCAAATACATTTCCTGTTTTAGAAAATAAGAACTTAACTGGATTTTGCTGTGCACTTTTTTTTTTGTCCTTGCAGAAGATGATAAAATTAACAAACAGTTGAGAATCACTTGATAGTGGGTCTCATCGGGGTTTAAGCGTAAACTGGGCCAATTTTTTTGTAAGCGTGACACGTGAAAGTCAAATTATTTTGCGCGAAAATGGGAAACGAAGTCGGGCAGGAGACGTAAAACTAAAATTACAAGCGCTATCATGAATGATTTTTCGTACCAGTGTGTATAGTAAATACCCTTTGACAGAAACAAGTGCCTGTGGTGAAAAACACAACCATTTTAGCCAAAGCCAAAGGGTCCACATGAACCTTAAGGGATATCCCACATAATAATCCTTATCATGTAGTTCCTGAGAAAAATGCGACGAAAAATATTCATGGGACGGACGGACGGACAGACAGACAAAGGTAAAACAGTATACCCCCCTTTTTTTAAATCGGGGGTATAATTATAAATTTATTTCCAACATAACTTCAGGAACACGTGGTGAAAAACAGTTCGTTCTTTATTTTGCGTCCCCGTACTTCTTTTTTTTTTTTGCCATTAAATGTGGTGACGAACCATTAACTTTGACAATTCTTCAATACACCCCGAATACCTTTACTCCAGGTTGAACCTCTTGGGTCAATAGATAGCTTTTGTTTTCTTCGAGGTTCTGCAAGCATTGACATTTTGTGTATTGCAATCTTTAACTTCCGGTATTATTTTTAGATATCGGATTTTTGATTGGTCTACTGCAATACTAAATAGTATGAATAGTCGTCTGTGTACTGCATGGAAAATGACCAATGTATTCCAAAAGGTGACAAGAAACAACATGTCCACCTGGCGGAGCCAAATGGGCCAATCAAAAGTGTGTTTTTAAGGACTGCCCAATCAAATTATTGTTGATTTGAATACCTTCCGAAGAACCTAAATTTGAAATTCGTCTGTGAAGTTGAATGGAGACTACGAAATTTTTGAAAATAGAGACAACTCTTTTTGAAATATTACTGCGGTGAAATTCTCTCTCATGCTTTTTTCTTTTATCTAACCTACGCATCCAAATTGAAACATCAAAATGTCTAGCGCGAGAAGAGAAGAAATGAAAAAAGATATAATTCCTGACATGGTTGTGGATCCAAGCTCAGGGAAACGATATTTGAAAGGAAGATTTCTCGGAAAGGTAACACATTCGAATCTAAATAAAAAAATATACCATGCTTTTTTTATAACATATTAAAAGCTTAGTAAAAGAGGTTATTCAATCTTTAGATTTTTAAATAAAATTTTATACTTGTACCTTCTTTTTTTTATTGATTATGCAAGTTATGACATGTCTCAGATTTGTGTTATGATAGTTTGATATACACTATTCTCCAATTTAAACACCAATTTCGAAATTTTCTCTTCAATGGAAACTATTATTTTAAAAATATTTCGTGTGATGTCAAAATAACTTATTAAGGAAACAAACCAGATTATTTTTTTGTTTACCTTTCTTTGTATTCTAAGCTGAGTTTTTGGCAATGATCCAGATTTATTGTGTTAATAAACAGCTGACAGTCAATTGTACATGTTATATTTATAATAAAATATTTTTATTAGGATATCAATCAAATCCTCAAACTAGAATTGAAATTTAAGCAGGTTGGGCATTGGGGAAGATCCTCATAAATGGGTACTATCCCCATTTATGCAAATTATGGGTAATATACATGTACCCAAAATCAGGTATTAATTTACAGTGATAAAAAATCTGATTTGTCTGTCATCTCAAATATTCATACAAATGGTAACATTTTCCCCTTTAAGACTATTTGATAGTTCAAATGAGAACTGTCTACATTACAAAGAAAATGACTTCCAAAAATCAGAGTATTTCAAGGCTACTAACTTATCTCCAGATGATAATGCGATCAAGACGTTTTGGCCACAACCAATTCACAGCCACAGTACCAGTTTGGCCATAGTTGATTCAGTGTTTTGACAGAAGTTTGTTTTGAAAAAGGAATATTACTTAACCAAATGTGTGCAAGACTTTTTTTGAATACAATGTAACAGAGAATTGATAGAAAACACAATAAAAGAGTAAAGAGCTGGTATGATAAACACAGAGGCACTATTTGTTTTCAATGATTAATGACCATTAACCCAAAATACCTCTACTACTGAAACAGTGGAACGAAATAGAGCAATAGTGCTGAAAGTGGCGTTAAACACCAATCAATCAATCTTGCATCACTCTCAAACAAAAGACAAATGTAATCAGGATTCAGACTAAACTGGTTGGGGAAGATCCTCATAAATGGGTAATATCCACATTTAATGGTATATAATACCCCGAATTAGGTATCAATTTTCAGTGATAAAAATATAACCTTTGGATTTCAAGATATTTGCTGTCATGGCGCAAACATTGAGGTTTATAATGACATCATTTGGCCCCAAGACACCATGACTGAATTATTAATGCTTCACAGAAAAAATGTGATGAAAGGATGCACTAAACTTTAATTGTTTGAGCCAATTGATGTGTCTGGGGGTATTGAAGTGTTATGGTTTATCTTATTCTCCGTTGGGGGAGGGGGCATTTTTGTCTGCCATTACTGGACATCTCAAAGGTTCCTGTAAAATTTTGTCGTTATAGAAAATGTTGAAGCCACAAAAGAAAAATGATTGTTGTATGACATCAATAATTCAAGTGTGGCAAATTCTCAGTGCACTTCTTGCAGATTCCCAAAATAGCGATATACATCATCGATATACATGTATGATGTATAAGGGTTGAGAAATTTTTAAATCTGAAATTTTTAGTATTTTTAACTTGAAATTCAAATCAGTCAAGTACATCATGCAGACATTAAAATAAAATAAATTAGATGACCAAGCTGGAAAGATAAACCTGGGGTTTGGCTTGCCATCTATAAATTATGCTTGCAGTGCACTACTTTTTGTAATATTTTAGTGCCAAAAAACAGCAACCTTTATAATGTTTTAAAATATCATAGGTGCAGAAATAAATAATTATAGTTCTATGGGTAAAACATGGATTAGATATTTAAATGAAACTAATCCATTAAGTGCTATGTTTCTTTTTTTACAAATCAGATTAACTAAACAAGATTTGTCTGCAATTAAGTAAAAGTCTATTTAGATCAATGGTTGATTTTTGATTCACTGTACTTCTTTTAGACCAAAATAAAATATGTGTTTCTTGTTGTGTAAAGAAATTTTGTTATCTGCAACTCTTACAAGTACATGTGGTGTAGTACAGTTCTACATCAAAAAAGGTTACTACATGTATTATTGTAATAATATTTTTCTCCTAACATGCTGACAAGTTTTTATATATTTGTAACTGGTATATTCAGTGTTTTCTGTCATTCTGAAGATCTAATTCCCCAAATGAGGATAAGAAGATAAAAATACCTTCAGTTTTGTATTTTCCCCATCTAAACTTTTGTATAAAGATAAATAAATGGACTAATTGACATACACTGTACAAATGTTGTATTATTGTCAATGAGACAACTTCACCAGAGACCAAAGGACATTAACAACTAAAGGGCACAGACTGCCTTAAACAATGAGGAGGAAAACATGATATGGTATATAGTAATAAAGCTATAAAAGGCCAAGATATTACCTGATGTGAAATAATTCTAAAGATAAAACAAACATCTTGATTTATCATTTATGCTAGAAAAAACATGACAGACAGCACCAAGGAAAAGTTACTGAATTACAGTCTTAAAACATAAACTGGAAGACAAATTGTAAATGTTTTGTAAGTTTCTGTATTTTATTTACAGGGAGGATTTGGTAAATGCTGAAGACAAATTGTAAATGTTTTTAAAGTTTTTGTATTTTGTTTACAGGGAGGATTTGCTAAATGTTATGAGTTGACAGATGTGGAAACCAAAGAACTATTTGCTGGGAAGGTTGTTCCCAAATCACTGCTGGTTAAACAACATCAGAAGGACAAGGTACTTTATATATATGTTTATTTACTTACCAATCTTATTAATTCATTACATAACATATATATCAAGATATAAAATAGCCTTTGTAGGACATTTTTTACATAGTGTTCCAATCTAACTTCAGTAATTTCAGTCTTACAAATAAATTTATTTATGCATTATTAAACTACTTCACTATTGTTACTATTGAATTTGAAAAGAAGTGATGCAAAAACACAATGAACAAGACACAGCTACACCAGTTAACCTACTTGTGCTAGTTACTAACCTGAATAATTCAGTTGTTATATTTCGATGCTCTGCAATGGCTACATTAACGCCTAAAGGCCTACATGGCCTAGTCAATGAAAAATCCTCAATTAAACATTCAGAATTAGCTCACAGATTTATCTACCTCTATAACATTAAGTTACCAGCTGATTGGCTCTCTCTGACAATCATAAAGAGCCAATCGAACTAAATGAATTGTTACTTCTGCATTTTAATTGTATCAAGAGTTCAGGCCCTTGCCAGTAGGAGAGTTTAAATATTCAGGTTAGTTTCTCACATATAGATAAATGAAATGTTCAAAATTCAAAAGAAAAAAATGATTTTATAAAATGGAATTCATATATGTTGTACATAATTATTATTAAACTCACATTTTTTAGATGACACAAGAAATCAACATCCACAGAAGTATATCACATAAGTACATTGTAAAGTTCCACTCCTTCTTTGAGGATTCTGATCATGTTTACATTCTACTAGAATTGTGTCGTAGGAGGGTAAGTAAAAAGCAGTTGGAAATAAAAAAATCAGGGTTACAAATTAAGCCACAAATGGCACAATGAATTGCTGTTTATAAAGTTTCTTTGGTTTTACGTTTTTTGTTGTACAAATGTACATGTATGATACATGTGTATAACTATATTTATATCAATGGAACTTTAGGGGGGGTGACAGAAACTACTAAAAAAAACTTAAAATATAATGTTTTCTATTAATCTTTATAGCAATAATCATTTCTAGGAGCTCTGACCTGTGTCAGGTTAAAGTTTTTATTTAAAGCAATTTACCATGAAGTTGAGGTCCTATCAACTTGAAAATTGGTACACAGGTTTATTGTTATGTGAACATTTAAAATTTGATGCCATAGTAGATTTTTTACCACAATTTAAAGGTTCACTGACTGAACAGAGAAATATAGTGGGTCCTCTATAAGGTTTAAATTTTTGGTAAATGTAGTTTACAATGAAGTTGTGATATATATCACATCAACTTGAAACTTAGTACACATGTTAATTACAGTGTGAACTAGTTAAATTATATGCCAAATTGCTTTTCTGCATTGATATAACCCTTTAAAAAGTGTGTGCTTAGCTAAACATTTTTTCTAAAATGATTGTCAACTTGTTTCTGTTTGTATTATGTATATTAGTATATTTCAATTTTTGAGTACTTAATGACTTTTTTTTTTATTAACCAAAATTTTTGAAAAGTACCCTATTCCAGAAATTCTACAGAAACACATTTAATGTTAAATATATGATTATTTATCCTTGTAGTCTTTAATGGAGTTGCACAAGAGACGAAAAGCAATAACAGAACCTGAGACACGATACTTTGTAAGACAAGTCATCCTAGCTTGCCAGTACCTACATACTAATAAAATCATCCATCGTGACTTGAAACTTGGAAATCTGTTCATAAATGATGAGATGGAAATAAAAATTGGAGATTTTGGACTTGCAACAAGATTAGATTATGATGGAGAAAGAAAAAGGTATAGCATCTGCAGTTATCGTACTACACACTTGCAAATTCCTCTAGAACTGCAAAATAATGAAAATGCTAAACATGCAGTTATCTTTTAATTACTTAGTTAATTATTGTAATGCAATTTATTTTTCATATAAAAAAAATTTTGTATTCTAGTAAATCCAACTTCTAACAGGAAATTTGGCGTTTTCTGTTTTTCATTAAATGAGACCCATCTTCGCTAGCCAAGGGCTATGATCCAGTCCCCTCCTCTCCACCCTTGGCAGATTAAGCCAGCATTTGTGATTACAGTGCTGCGCTATCTACTGGTAGATAAAAGTCCCACCCATTCTGAAGACATCATTCTTGACCAATGGCAGCATTTTAACTCTCTTCAGTGTGGAGGCAGGGCTTCCAAAATTATTTTTAGCCAGCCGGACATTTTATATATTATCCCGATTTTAATCCCTTAAGACTAAATAAACAAAAGGCAATTATGGTAATCAGTTGCCGAGTTGGCCATCCCAATGATTGACATTAAAAAAAACGATATTTAACTTTCTTTGATTCAAATTCGAAGTTCTGACGTAAACTGTTAAATTGGCAGTGCATCATTCGAAGTGTGCAACATCGGCGTACTTATATCTGCCTTAGACTCTTTATTTGTGCAAAATAACGTTGTCAAAAACTTTACTTTCGTTTTTATACCGGATGTTATCTTGACAATGGTAAAACATGGACCAGAGACGGATGCGTAAATTCCGTGTACGTTTGCAAAGCATGAATGAGTGGAAGTAGCTCTTTCTACGTTATTTCTTCAAGAAAATATTCGAAATAAACATGAGATATAGGTATCAATGGCAATTTAAGCATTTTTGAAGAAATTATAGGATGCATATTTAAATTTCACACCTGCGCACACGTGTACTAGTTCGAACAGAGACATGTCTCTAGGTTCAAACAACGTGGTTATGACGATTTTTCATTTTCACCTTTTTAATTTTTTCATCAAATCATATTTGTGAACGTATTTCCGATAATTTAAATCTTTTTGACTAAATTAATGAGTTGCAAACCGCTGAAATGTAAGAAAATAACTTTGAATAGACCGATCAATGTCCGGTTCAAAATAGTTTACCTGTCACCTGAACAGGTAAATTTCAGCTGTTTGACAACTAATTAGCCTTGATTAAAATGAGAAGGTATTAAAGTAGGGGTTGTTTTGATAGTACTTAATGATCATGTCACTTTTATGACCGGAAATGTGTGGCTGTTAAAGGCAAAACGTTGGGTCAAAAAGATCGCGAATTATGTTAAAATGACCGTCTCTTAAAGCCTTGAAAACTAAAAAGTAGATGACCGTTTCATGCTTTGCCCAGCCGGACTTTTACCGGACATTATACAAATGTCCGGCATATATGACCGTTTTGGAAGCCTTGTGTGGAGGTGTAAAAATGATTATGTCCAGTGTTAAAAAATTTTGTGAAGCAGGAACAGAAAATATACTCTGACATTCCAACATTTGCGCGAGAAACATACCCACGAAACTCCCAATTAGTTGATTAAGAACTTTAAAATTGTCACTAAATATCGTCCTATGTTTTGGGGGTGAAGGCTTGTTGCACAACCAGCACGTGGTAATTGTTTATTTACATTTTCTACATCTACACGTGATCATCTTAAAGGCGCTTTTTGATTGGATGCAGCCAGTTACAACTGCGACCAATGAAAATTATTACATCGTGGAAATTCTATCTTAATCCGCCAAGGGTGGAGAGGAGGGGACTGGATCATAACCCTTGGCTAGCGAAGATGAATGGGACCCCATTAGGTAATACAATTGTGGCGTCTCATTAGTCCCAATTCTATGTATTACAATAGAACCATTTCAACCAATTTTACAACATGTTGATAATAAATAGGAAATACATACTTGCTTTTAACAATAATATACATACTTTTTAGGGGTTTTTGTTAGAGATCATGTTACAGAGAAATGAAAATAGATTTTAAATACTGGGTCCCCAGAATTACATTATAACTCAGAGCTCCAGATAAACTGCGTATTTGCGTGATCACGCAATACAAATAATTAAAAACCCAATGCAATTGCCCATTGCAGGGTTCAATAACCCAATTAATTCAAAGGAAAACCCAATTATATGCCAAAACCATGAGTTCTTAACGCTTTTATTCGCTATCGTTTGCGTTATTTACCCTTATCTGATTACAGTCGTCGCGTAAATCTATTTTTATAGTAGCAGCACCTAAATTTCACATATATTACATAAAAATCTAAACACTTAGCCACACCTACCCCAACTATAAACTGTAGGGTGATCATATGGGATCTAGAAAGGCAATTAGTTACTGTCCAACTAGTGACACCAGCTGCAGTTTACATAAGTTTTGAGAAAATACAAAACTGACAGAACGTTTAAAACGGGACACAAATTAAACGTACAATTGCTCGTCAGTGAATAAACCAAATAAAACAGCTAAGCACATATACAAAGAAAGAAACACATTTAAGATGGAAACACATCTGAGGTTGATATAATGTGATTATAACATGCCTAAATATTCAATATTGTGTTGATGAAAAAACCCAATACATTAAGGAGCTTGGTGGTGAATAACCCAATTTGATATTTGCTTGAGGGATGAATTGGAATTGATAATGCAATTAAAAAACTTTATCACCCAATTACATAAAAAAATGGTGGGTAAAAACCCCAATTTGTGAATTCTTATCTGGAGCTCTGATAACTTATCCTCATATGTTGAATCCCCCAATCACAGTAAAGTTATGTTTTTATTGATTTAAAATATTCTCATGATTCTTTGATGATTTTTTTCAGGACTTTATGTGGTACACCAAATTACATAGCACCTGAAGTTTTAGGCAAAAGAGGACATAGTTATGAGGTAGATGTCTGGTCCTTAGGTTGTATTATGTAAGTAATGATAATAGAAATATGGATAGAGAAAAAGATTAAATTAACTGTTTCTAGATACACTCAAAGCTCAAATAATCATTTGATATTAGGATAATACTATGTAGTTTATACAGGGGTTGCCACGCACCCAGTAAAACAGGAAAAAGTGGAATTTTATTTGAGGTGCTCCCGGCTCGGAAAACACGAAAAAATCCGGGGAAAATCCTTGAAAGTTTAATAAGTACTGGAAGTTAAAAAAAAAAAAACATTACCTCCCCTGTGCTCTTTGATTCGTCCCTTGCAAAATGTGTACCCGTATGTTAAACAGGTACTAATGAGTGCATTTCATGGGACGATACCAATGGGGTGACTTGATAGAGGTGAATCCTGATCTCGATTATGCTTGATGCAAATGGTCTTGAAATGTTTTGCAATGTTATTTATCAAGCTCAATTTCAACCTCAATGCAAGAACCTCTATATCCTTGAAAGCTACTGATAATCCTGGAAAAATTCTGGACTTTCATGTCTGAAAAAGAGTGGCAACCCAGTTTATATGTCAGTATATACATATAGTATCTCCTACATGTATTACATGTATTATCTTTATCATGGAAATTCACAATACAGAAACAACTGAATACTAATCGAAACTAGCAAGGAAATCAAACTACTGTATAGATTTGTTCTACAGAAAAGGGAACTGAGGCCGAAAAAAAAAATAATCTGTGTTTCCGGTAACCCGACCGACCCTGTTTTTTTAGCCCCGACCCTAATTTTTTTATTGGATCTTAAAAAAAAAAAAAAAAAATTGGTATCAACTGACCCTGTTTTTGACACAGGCTTCTGTTAATCGACATAATTATTTATTTAACTTGTTTTTACTGGCACAGAAAGCCAGTAAAACATTTTATTCATGTCAAAAGGTATTCCAAATAGGTTAAAATCCAAGAAATGTGCACAGCAGGTGCTTCAAAAACATTGCAAATGGCCGCACTTCCGGTATTTTAAACTAAATAAGGGACCGGACTTAGAAAAACCATGATAATTTTCCGGATTTCGTTTACAATGTCCAAAAAATAAAAAAAAAATAAAAAAAATCCAACCTACCGACCTTATTTTTCAAAATGATGTTACCGGAAACACAGATTTTTTTTTTTTAGGCCTGATTTCATTTTAAATGAATCAATTTAAACAGCCCATCTGAAGAACTGATGTTCGATAGGTTAATCTCGTCTGCAGAAATAGCATTTGTAAATTATTTTAATTACATAATTATAGATATTTCTTCCAGATATACATTATTGGTTGGTAAACCTCCATTTGAAACTACTTGCTTGAAAGACACTTACATGAGAATTAAAAAGAATGAGTATCATATACCATCCCGCATAAGTAAAGCTGCAGCAACACTTATAGCCAAGTTACTTAAATCTGACCCAACAGATAGACCTAACATGGATCAAATCTTAGATGATGAATTCTTGCATTGTGGTAAGTGCAATCTAGTGTTCCCCATACTCTATAGATATACAGTTGTCACCACCATATGTAGAAAAATACAAATATGAAATAATGATCCATCAGAAGTTCCTTGAAGTTGAAAGCAATGTTGGTACACTTTAAAGATACAAGTTTTCCTTTCTGAAGACAAATTTTCAGTTAACCAGACTCATTGTCATGGTCCTTCAGATATAAGGTATGCCATCAATGACGAATGAAAGAGAATGTAGAGGTAACCAGATTCATTGTCATGGTCCTTCAGGTATAAGGTATACCATCAATGACAAATGAAAGAGAATGTAGAGAAGCAAGCTATAAATTACCCAAACCCTAGAAATATCTGTATCAATCAATAAAAAAACCATCTGTAACCACTTAATGAAATTCCAGATAAGAAATAGGCCAAAAAGAATATAAAGGGTTGTTTACATGGTTGAACTTAACCCTCCCTCTATTTATATTTTAGTATGGACAGTAAGAAATGTTTTATATAAAACTTGAAATAAAATCCAACTGTATTGCTTGAATGTTTTATATTCTTTGTTGAAAATGATGACTTTTTTTTAATTCAGGTTATTTACCAGCCAGACTTCCAACAAGTTGTTTAACAATGGCTCCAAGGTTTGACACATTAGCTAAATCAGAGTTGCAGACATTACAGTCAAGGAAACCATTGTTGGAACTCAACAGAGCAGGTAATAGATTTATATAGATCATGCAAATTATTCCTGAGTAAAAAAAAGCAATATAAAGACAAAAGTTTACTCCTCTGTTGCCTATAAAAAGAGCATGCTGGTATTAAACATGTCAAAAAGGGAGTTTTTGGTTTGAAGCCTTGCCATGTCAGATTTTGATAATAGATTTTTTACTAGTTCTAAACTCTGCATAATTATATATCATTCAGATGGAAGAATAAAGATTGGTCAGCATAGAGGCCATATATTTAATGTGTCACATGGTATGACATGTCAGTTGTCGTATAAAAAATTTAAAATTAGCCTGAATATGTCTGACCATTTAATACTTAAAAGGAGTAGGTACTTGCGTTCTATTCATTGCATCACAAATAGCACTCAATTTGATATGCCACGAAAATTCAATGAAAACGTTTCCATTGATTTTTTAGACATGAAACATAAAGCGTATGCGTCGCCTAAAAAAGATCTTTTAACATAAAGTTTGTTATAACATTTTACATATCTGACTTGAATATTTAGTTGGTGACATCTATACTATTTGTTTCCTAGGCCTAAATTTGGCTAAAATCAAGACGATTTTTCAAATTTCGCAAAAAAAATCTATTTTTGGCAGATTTGGGAAGTTAAAATCAACACTTTAAAATAAATAGTTCTTTTTAACTTTCTTACACGTCTTTTCGTTAATTTAAAACATTTTTATCGTGAACCATTGAACTTATTAATCAGGGCCAAAAATGACCCTTACCTAACTTACTCCTTTGACAGTCTAACTTATCGCATAAACATGCTGTCTTCCTGAATGTGTAAATTATTAATTGTAGCCATTAATTGCATTCATGATCATGCATTTATAGACTTTATATGAAATATGTGAATGTTAGGCATTGTCTTCAAACAGTCAGTATGTTTTTATTCAAACTAAATCCTGATTGAAAGTGACCTCAGTTGTGATTTATTATTTGACTGTTAAGTATTTCAAACTGGTGTTACTTTATAGATGGTAATGGTAGACCACAGACAGCTGTTCCAGATTCTGTCAAGGTGTATGAAAGACAGTTGGCAGAAGGTGGTGAAGATGAAGGACAGAGAAAGCCAAGTAAGAAAATGTAAAACTTCTTTGGGAGCACTTTTTTTATAGATCTTATTGATATATGTCTATGGTGGTAAGTTTACATCGAGAGGTCAGCATATGGTTTAGACAATAGACTGTGTCAAATCTAAAAATTTACAGGAGTCTTGCAAGTTATGAATACATTTAATAAAGTTCCAAAGTTCTGCCTTCAAAACAAAGAACTTTTAAGGACTAAGGCCACTGGTTTCTAACTTATGTCAGACAATTGGTTAGTGTAAAGTCTAAAAATTATGAGATTTTTTACATTGTTTTTGACAGGTGATGAACCAGCAGATTATTATCTCTCTGACTTATTTGGACAGTTATCAGCTGTAGTTGCATCTAAGCCATCAGAACGTGTTGTAATAACAGAAGGTTGGTATCCAATATTAATTTTTTCAAAAAATATTTTGAGATATCATTAATATGGAGAAATTTGCAGTTTCCCCACTCTTAATTTTACTTTGCCACAATCAAATGTTCTGAAACTAATATACAATGCTTATTACTACTAAACACAGATCAGGTTCATATTTGGGTGGCGTCACTTTTTCCATTCTTAAGTTGTGTCTTTTTATAAATGGAAAAAACGGTGAATTTGCTATTTCTGCACTCCAACTTTACTTGCCTCGACCAAATGTTGTGAAACTTATTCACAATGCTTATTACCACCAACCACAGATCCAAGTCCAAATTTGGGTGGCGTAACTTACCCCATTACTGTTTGTTTTTGAACAATGAGAGCACTCAAACACCCAAGCAATATCTGACAACATACAGAAACAAATGTCATTAAGTTTCAAAGAAAACAACGTCAATAGGTATGAACTAGTACATTGACCTTGCATATTTACAAACAGGGGTATCTGTGTCCCATGGATACATTCTTTTATTTAAATATAATGCAGGTACAGAGTAGGCAGTCTTATATTGTTTGTTTTCTATAATTAACAGAGGATGCTGAGGATCCAGCACTGATACCTATATACTGGGTTAGTAAGTGGGTAGACTACTCAGACAAGTATGGATTAGGCTACCAGCTTTGTGATAACAGTGTTGGAGTAGTGTTTAATGATTCTACTAGACTCATTCTCTTGGCTAATGGAGAGTAAGTATCTTTACTTTTGAAAGTTTGAAATTGAAATAGTACAGTTGCATGAAAAAAACGGATGTTTGCACTCAGAAACTTTATTAAAAACATTGATTCTTGTATGAGGATGTTATATGATAGATTTATGATATTTTGGGGTTTTCAAAATCAATGGGTTGCTAATTATACCATCTCCTTTGACAATAATGTAAATCTGTTAAAAGGCACGCACAGGACATTAAGCAGACAACAATCAATAAGAAATAAATGCACTAGATAATAGTAAATTGTACTAGCTTGTTTACCAGATTTAAGAAAATTTAATAAGGTATAAACCTAGTCCTGCAATCAGGTAATAAAATGGAAAATTGTCATTCCTTTTTGTCAAGCCTGTGATAGCAATCCTAGATTTGGTTGGCGGCGTCAACATTAAGGTTCAGTCTGTGGTTAAAGTTTTTCAGTGATCAATAACTTTGTCAAACCTTCATGGAATTTGATGAAATTTGGACAGAACCTTGTATATGACCAAAATACAGTATCCAGAGCAAAATTTTGAAAATATTTATTTTCATATTACTGATAAATGGACTTAGTTTTTTTTTACATTTGAATAACAAATAGATACACATTTATTAAGTAACAAATAGATACAGTCTGGGGTTAAAGTTTGTTACACATCAAATACTTTGTCAAACCTTCTTAGAATTTTATGAAACTTTTTTATGATTAAGAGATAATGTCTGAAGCACTCTTTTGAAAATATATTTTCATTTTCAGTATTTTTCTGATGGATGGTCTTTTTTTACAGTAAACATTTACTGACAGTCTAGGATTAGATTTTTTTTATATGATAAGTTTGTTAACCTTCATTGATTGTTATGAAACTTGGTCGGAAGCTAATCTTCAAGACCAAGAAATAGCATCCAGAGAGAGTTTGAATCTTTTTTAACATTCTGTATTTTACTGATAAATGGACTCACTTTTTAGCTCACCTGGCCCGAAGGGCCAAGTGAGCTTTTCTCATCACTTGTCGTCCGTCGTCGTCATCGTTAGCTTTTTACAAAAATCTTCTCCTCTGAAACCACTGGGCCAAATTTAACCAAACTTGGCCACAATCATCATTAGGGTATCTAGTTTAAAAAATGTGTCCGATGACCCCGCCAACCAACCAAGATGGCCGCCATGGCTAAAAATAGAACATAGGGGTAAAATGTAGATTTTGGCTTATATCTCTGAAACCAAAGCATTTAGAGTAAATCTGACATGGGTAAAACTGATTATCAGGTCAAGATCTATCTGCCCTGAAATTTTCAGACAAATCTGCCAACCCGTTGTTGGGTTGCTTCCCCTGAATTGGTAATTTTAAGGAAATTTTGCAGTTTTTGGTTATTATCTTGAATATTATTATAGATAGAGATAAACTGTAAACAGCAATAATGTTCAGCAAAGTAAGATCCACAAATAAGTTGTCATGACCAAAATTGTCAGTCGACCCCTTTAGGAGTTATTGCCCTTAATAGTAAATTTTTAACAATTTTTCGTAAATTTTTGTAATCTTTTACAAAAATCTTCTTCTCTGAAACTACTGAGACAAATTTAACCATACTTGGCCATAATCATTATTAGGGTATCTAGTTTAAATAATTTGTCCGATGACCCTGCCTTCCAACCATCATGGCCGACTTGGTTAAAAATAGAACATAGGGGTAAAATGCAGTTTTTGGTTTATATCTCTGAAACTAAAGCATTTAGAGCAAATCTGACTGGTGGCAAAAATGTTCATCAGATTTAGATTTATCTGCCCTGAAATTTTCAGACGAATCCGACAACCCGTTGTTGGGTTGCTGCCCCAGAGTTAGTTATTTTACAAAAATTTTGCAGTTTTTTGTTATTATCTTAGATATCATTATAATATCTAATATCTAATACTATTAATTATGATTTTAACCTTATTTTACATGATTTCCAAAGCATCAGTAAATACAGGTGAGCGACACAGGCTCTTGAGAGCCTCTAGTTAAGTCAACATTACACTTTTAACACTGATAGCAGCAATCGTAGGCAAGACACAGGGTTCCGCGGAACCCTTTACAAATTTTTTTTAAGATTATATGTGAAAACAACATTATCTTGTAGGCAACTCAAAATTGTCTTCATTTTTTTTTTAACTTTGCAGTCCATAATGATGAAACTCTCTTCTGTATAATGATGTCAGTACAAAGTATGTATCTGAATGGACTGTTTAAATTATTAAGACTTGCCTTACCTATCTCATCCAAGTGTTATTTTATACCACACAAATATCCACAGAGCAATAAAGCTGAAGAGAAACAGTTTAATCAATTGTTGCAGGGTGTTGTGGTTGTGAAATATCTTCTATGAAACATGATAGTTCCAAACTTCCAATGTTTTACATGTATATTATTAGTGATTTAAATGTACCATAATTCATCTTTCTGATTTAATTTTACAGGAATATTCAATATATAGAAAGAGATGGAACAGAACATTATCATACCCTGAAAGTCTTTCCAGAAACTCTTACAAAGAAGGTCACATTGCTAAAATACTTCAGAAATTATATGAATGAACATCTACTTAAGGTATGTTTTCTGTTTAATAAAGGTCAAGGCAGAATAAATTGGTAATGTCATATATGTTTATAGGAAATTTTTACCAAACAATTACAAATGATTTTTCTTACTGACAGTTTAGCATGTCAAAGATGTATATGTCTATGACATCCAGCATTTACTTTTCGTTGACCTTATTTCAATTTACTGTAGATTTAGTTGTGGGTTGAGAAAAAAAAAAAAAATTTTGTAGGTACTACATTTCGTGGTTTTCAAAGCAGACACTACATGATAGCCTCAAGACAATATGTATTTTGTTGAAATATTGGACAATTAAATATATTTTGTTCACCGATCAGGCCTCTACAATAACTTTTTTTTCAACTTGTCCAGTAGGACAAGTACATACCAAAACTTACTTGTCCGATTGAAATTGTAACTTGTCCAAAAAAAAATCTTAATAATAACCTTTTTTGCATTTTAAGTTGATTGAATTAAAACAATCGAACAGAATTTGATTTTAATATATCTTTTGCAATACTTTACAAAAATATGAGTCGAGAACAACTGAATCTAGTCATGTCACAGGACTTAGGTTCTAGTTTTCATCAATGCCAAAGTCTCATCAGACTCTGCACATGAGGCACCGTCTGATAGGATTGCCAATGTACACTCATTGGATTTGTATCCTGGTTTTTTAAGTTGAAAAAAGTTTATTCAAATGCAATCAATAAAAAAAAGGAGATGAGGTATGATTGCCAACGAGACAACTCTCTGCAAGAGATCAAATGACACAGAAATTAACAACTATAGGTCACCGTATTGCAAGTATTGTCTTTTTCTACATACATGACATATGATCAAAATTTTATGGTCATTTTTATTTTAAAAATATTTTTGCTAAAAAAATTACCGGTATGGTATTTATTATAAAGCAACAGAATAAGGTAGGAAAACGAGGTACTGATTTGTCTTGGTCCTGAAATGTCTCCTGCGTTACCAAACTGTCTATTAATTATGTTTATTGAATATGTCTCCTACGGTGCCAAACTGTCTATTAAACTTGGAGCTGAATCGCTTCCGAGCTGGTGATGAACTGTCTTGTAAAGTTACCTTATCTACAAAGCGAAGCATATTGGATCAGTAAGACTGGTTTCCGAGAACCTGTTAAAAAGTACCTGACAAAGAACCAGTTTTAAATTATCGATTGCAAGTAAACATGTCAAATTAATACTTGTTTTTATGTTCTTTTCTTGTTTTTTGTTTGTAATTACTTTGTTCATCAAAGTTGGATTAAATTTATTTTCTGCAGAATAATTTTACTTGTCCCGTCGGACAAGCTTGATATAGCTTTTACTTGTCCGACCTTTGTTTCCTCTGGTACCGGACAATCGGACAAGCGTTATTGTCGAGCCCTGCCGATACCAATGAACTGCTCAAAAATGATTAAATCTCAGTATTTATATTTTCATTAGTTCACATGTTCTATGATGCAGTGATTTTGCTAGTGCTGGTCATTTTCGTAAAATATGAAACGGTTTTCAAAATGACGAAAGTATTTCAAATCAATTTCGTCACTTAAATTTTGAAAGTGTAAAAATATTTTCTCATGAAAATACTATAAATCTACCTGTCTTCATTATTTTGACAAGTTTATGAACCCAGGTAATTAACATTTACCACAGGTGTTACAAGTTGTGATTACAACTAATCCGCTTATCTCTATGGGATGGGTGTCTAATCCGTTAATTATTAATATCGATTTAGACGTTTTATAAGGATGATTATGCAGTGAGATAATCGTTGCAGGTTAATTACAAGGTTTCACTGCTGTGATTCCTTGTTTAAAAAAGAAAGGAATCAAACTTTTGTTGAACAGGAATGTCCCCTGGAACAAACTGAATGCCAAGCATGCCTAAGTCCTTTAAAGTCTGACAAAGATGTAGCTAGTAATATACATCCTTGGTCCCTTGCTGTTACACAAAATAAAGTTGATTTTAATATCGTGCAAAAGTGACTAAAGCCCTCAAAATCCTAGTTTAAACCCTGATGATGTGACTTTTAAAAGATATCTGCCAAGTTAGGGTTTTGACCCAGATTAAGCAGTTCACAGGACATTGAAATGTCAGTGTGAGCATGGCATGGCATCCTATGGACACATTTACATAACTTTGCGAGTGAAAGGACAGTCAAAAGCAGGGATTTGAATATGTGACTTGGATGATCTTGTTTTTCTATACTCATATCTATAATAGCTTGTGTTTAGATACGGTACATAATGATGAGAAAAGGATTAGACTTTCGTTCTTCTGAATGTGAATGTTAGAATAAACTAGGATCTGAATGTACTGTAGTCAAATTTTATATGGTTTTAATTTGAATGGCTTTATTATTTAAGTCATTTGTCCAGCACGCACAAGTATATTTTTATTTCAGTTTAGTTAGCACTATTTAATATACAGTTCATAAATAACAAAACTTGGATCAGAAGCATTATTAATAGCAGTATTTCTTTGAAACAACATGTTTGGGATTTGTAGACATTAAAATGTATTGTTCACTGGCTGATCAGTACATTTGTATTCATTCTAGGCTGGTGCAAACATGGTACCAAGAGAAGGTGATGACATGACCAGGTTACCTTTCCTAAGGACTTGGTTCAGAACTCGCAGTGCAATAGTCTTACATCTCAGTAACGGAACATTACAGGTAAAACTTTCATCACATGGTTTAATATTTTATTTTACTAGTAAACAAACAAATGTACATTTACTTGCAACTTGAATTTACTTTCATTACAAACAAGTACAATCAGTTTCAGCTGTAATGGCTGTTGATATTTACTGAATAACTAATCCAAGTATTCAAAGAGAAACAGAACAACACATTAATTCACGAATTCACAAAGTTCATGAAAACTATTGGCATTATTCGGTCACGAGTTGATATTAATTCAATATTGAATTCTTGGATTAGTTATTCTTTAAATTTCAATGACCAAGGACTTTTAACCCTTTCGCCGATGAATCCCGGTTTACCAGGATTCACGCTTCAGACAACTGACGATGAGTCCTGGTTTACCGGGATCTTAATACCTCTTTTACATTTCCCGCTAAAAACATTGGAAACACAAGTTATCTTTCTTTGTTGAATACCCGGATGAAAGTGTAAACATGGCTCTTCAGTTTGTTGAAAACCGTGTCAAAATCAGATGAAATTTACGGATTTTCCTAGAATTTGAAATAAGGAAACATTTTTTTTGAAAGAATATGGAAGAATTGAAGCCAGACTAGTATACTTTTTAACATAAAATGCTGTTTTATGTACAAAAACACTTGGAATGGACATCGTTCAGTGTAAGGAATTTGTACAACCTTGTTGAATTTTTTTGAACTTATGCCGTTTTGGGTTAAAAAATTACGATTTTGGGTCAAAAAGTCGATTTTGAGAATTTCATTTCTCTAATGCCGAAAATTTGCAAATTTTGTTTTTTTATGAAGAAAATCAAAACATTAACAAAACTGTGTCTATGGTGTAAGTGAATAATATAAAGACATAAACAACTACAGACAAGTTTTTATTGATATTTAATAAATATCTCTCACTTGTGTCATAATAGCCAGGGAAGCCATTGTCTCAGAGTAGTTTCTGTCAGGCCAGCTATCGGTGAAAGGGTTAATGGAAATAAAGCATAATGTGCAAGGAACTATAAATCTTTTTCTACACATTCTTAATTTGTTTTGATGCAACATCATATACAATGTCTTGACAACATCTATTTGTATGACATCAGAGGAGTAAAATTCATTTCACATGTGAAAGTATCGGTTTTTATTTTACTGAAAAATAACCTTATTTCGTTGCAACCAATGTAATAGTTGAATTTTATCCAGATTTTTTTTTTTTTTGGTCGTGTATTAAAGTAAAAATAACTTTTATTGCAGATCAACTTCTTTCAAGATCACACCAAGATTATTTTATGTCCTATAATGTCAGCTGTGACCTATATAGATGAGAAAAGAGACTTTCACATTTACAAAGCATCTCTAATAGAGAAGTTTGGATGTGCCAAAGAACTATCAAGCCGTCTTCGATATGCAAAGACAATGGTAGAGCGACTGATGACTTCAAAATCTTTAGGATCTGGGCGTGTACGATCAGCTAATCCTTCTACCTCCTAGTCAAGTGGTTGTGACAGCCAAATATTGTGATCACTAAGAGGGTTCAGTTTCATGAATCATGAAAGTTTGGTATCATTTCCTTTACATATTAAATATATCTGAGAGGTGTTCTCAAAATATCTTGTCTCAGGGGACAAAAAGATTTAAAAGTATGATTTTGTATAATACATGTATCAACTTTTTTAAACACATTACACTCACACTTTTATGTTCAGTGAACTACATTATCTGGGTCAGAACCCAAAGGAGTAGGTCCGGTAAGGGCCGATTTTGGCCTCAAAATTCAGGTTCATCTGTTGAAAGATTTTGGACACTTTTTAAACACTTAAGTGTCTACTTCAGTCGATTCAATTAGTTTATGTGAAAGATTTGAACTAATTTAGTCATTAAAGACGCACAAATTCAAGCTTAAATATGAAATATTTATCAAATATGCCATAATATGTCACTTTTCAGATGGTTTTTGTCAAAAATGAAAGTGGCCGCATCCGTGTTCATTCTCAACCTTTATATATGTTATGTGTTATCATCAAATACAACTTACATTTAAATATCAAGAATGAACACAAATGCGGCCACTTCCATTTCAGACAGAAACCGTCTAAAAATTAACCAAAATGCTAAAATTTCGAAGATTTCAATAATTTAGCATGACTTAATGATGCTAGTACCCGATACATGTGCATTGTATTGTAAAAAACAGCCCATATTTATGTAACAGAAGTATTCTTCTTTCCAATAAATAGCTAAAAATTTACATTTTAACAATTTTGTAAAACTGTTATATTTTTGGGCCAAAAAGGGGTCTTACCGGACCTACTCCTTTGGCAAATATCTAGTTTAAAAGCACATGACCTATTTCATGTTGTAAGTAATTTAAAGAAAAATTAGTGCTGCAATTTTTTCAAGAGGAAGTTTTCTTCATCTTTCATAAAAATGAATTTCATAGTCCCATGGTATTTTTTTGTTTACATTCATTAGAATACATTGAGGAGTTCATGTGCTTTTTAGATACAATTACCTTCATATGTGTTTTTCAGAAAACATCGCTTTCTGTTATTCATTGTTCTTTGCATGTGAGAGTACTTTTTGTGAATGAAAAGGGTATATGTGTTAAAAGAAGCATAGATGAAATTGAAAATGAAACAAAGAAGATTGAGTGAAACTTTTCATTGTGCATGATGTATGTTTGAGTGAATTTATTATAAAAGTGCTGCATGAATGGTGCAAGAGTTATTTTGATAGGGTTTGTATTTCATTTCACATCTCAAAGAAAATAGGACTTATCAAATTGTAGTTAAGAATCATGTTAAAATTAGCATAAATTATACAAAGTGCTTTTTGTCATCTTCAGACTTACATTGTTATTATGTCATTTTGTTATCTTTGCTATAAATAACTCAACTTGTCATTTTCTCATTTTAAGTAAGCTCCAACAATTTTTGGAGTGTGATTTCACTCAAGTTTGCTTGGTTAACACTTTAGAAATTTGTATGTGAAATATTTTTTCCTGTGGCTATTATACCATTTTTAATGACTTGTTTACATTTTTATAATGGGATGAATTTTGTTACAAAAGATATTCCATAATCAGTTGACAGTAACAGCTTATGTTATCATGGTTATGGTGATCTTAGTAAAGATCTAAAGTTTAACAGTGGTCCACCCAATGTACTACAGGGTATATGGAAAGTTAACTTTGGAATGCTAGAAAATTATACAAATTCACAATATTTAATGTGATTCTATAATATGAAGTAAATATTACCAACTGATAACCTGAGCTGCGGTAAGCCACTACTGTGTGCCTTTTTCCTGGTGTAAAAATGCATCTCTTTGTATACTGGGAACTGGTATTTTCATTATGCTCATGTGAACTTGACAACAGATTTGTAAACAAAACTATATGATGTATTAACTAAGCCTTTATTGCACAAATTTCGTCCTACTGTAATTTTATGATTTTAAAAATTAACCTTGTTATATTTCCATGAGAATGTGAAATAAGATATAAAAATCCTAGAAAAAGAATTCAATTTTGTAAAACTTTGGAACCCAGAATTCATCCTACCACTGTAAAATTTGACTTTATAGAACTGTTTGTATAAGAAATAAATATTTTGAGGATTTGGTCTGTATTGAAGATCTTTGATAGTCTCTCTTTTATTTCTTCACAACTTTTTAATGCTCAGAGTAATTTAAGGCCTGACATTTTATTGTTGAAGTCTATGTTGACCCTTTAAATGAGTTTTGATTTTTTTTTTGTGTTGTTGGGTTGCTGTCTCATCAACATATACCCTCCACATTTCCTTTAATTTCTATCTTTTATTATTGTTTTTTTCTTGCTATCTCTTGATCTTGTATTATTTTAAATGAGGGCTTCTTTTTAAAATTTTACCAGTCCAATATATATGAATTCCACCAAGTTAAACCACTGAAAAGAAAGCCATTCGACTCAAATTGTTTACACACTTGGTTTAGAATTAACCTTATCTATCAAATTTCTATACCTTTTCCCTTTCTGAAAACTTCCAGAATCTCATAACTTTACTTATATTTTGTTAGTTCAGATATTTTACATAGTGAACAACTGTTCTGTTGATTTAAAGAGTAGGAATGAAATCTTGATGCTGTTGACAATTCTTTGTTATAATATCTGATAATGGAAACTCAATAATGTTATCATTTCTCTAAAATATATACAAGTCTTTTGAGTTTATATTTATGAATAAAAAATAAAACTAAACTTCTTGTAGTTTTTGTTTACATGGAAATAGTCATCAGACTAGAAAATCCATGTCAATATGTTATCAAAGCAGAAAGTATGTGGTCTTTCTTATTCAGATGATATCAGTCTTTTTGCTTAGATTCTGCAATTTTGTAGCATCCAAGAGCAATGTCACAGTAGATATTTTGGCAGAGGTATTAAGTTATAAATGGCTATATATTGTAGAATTTGTAAAACCTAAACAATTCATATAAGATTTGTAAATTAAGCATTTTTTAACCAGAAATTTTCATAGAAAAATCGGTTATTGATTTGGGGATGTACAGCGAGCTGTCTGCGGCTGCCAAACAGTGTCCCTTCATTAACATGAAAACGCTTTGACGAAATCTTTTCAAATTTAGATATGTTGTTTCCTGTGACTAAATGAAGGTCAAGTTCAATTTTCACGATTTTAGCTGTTCTCATTGAGTTGTAGACCTTTCAGTAGCAAAAGTGATTCTTATTATATGATTTATTTATTTTGAGTTATTTCCCTTTGAACAGAAATGGTGTAATTAAAAAGTATATAGATAGTCTATCAATGATTGTATCTGTTCAATTGATTTTAGTCATAAGGTGTCAAAAATTTCTTTATAACTTTTTAGCTCACCTGGCCCGAAGGGCCAAGTGAGCTTTTCTCATCACTTGGCGTCTGTCGTCCGTCGTCGTTAGCTTTTTACAAAAATCTTCTCCACTGAAACCACTGGGCCAAATTTAACCAAACTTGGCCACAATCATCATTAGGGTATCTAGTTTAAAAAATGTGTCCGATGACCCCGCCAACCAACCAAGATGGCCGCCATGGCTAAAAATAGAACATAGGGGTAAAATGTAGATTTTGGCTTATATCTCTGAAACCAAAGCATTAAGAGTAAATCTGACATAGGGTAAAACTGATTATCAGGTCAAAATCTATCTACCCTGAAATTTTCAGATGAATGGGACAACTTGTTATTGGGTTGCTGCCCCTGATTTGGTAATTTTAAGGAAATTTTGCAGTTTTTGGTTATTATCTTGAATATTATTATAGATAGAGATAAACTGTAAACAGCAATAATGTTCAGCAAAGTAAGATCCACAAATAAGTTGTCAATGACCAAAATTGTCAGTCGACCCCTTTAGGAGTTATTGCCCTTAATAGTCAATTTTTAACAATTTTTCGTAAATTTTTGTAATCTTTTACAAAAATCTTCTTCTCTGAAACTACTGAGACAAATTTAACCATACTTGGCCATAATCATTATTAGGGTATCTAGTTTAAATAATTTGTCCGATGACCCTGCTTTCCAACCATCATGGCCGACTTGGTTAAAAATAGAACATAGGGGTAAAATGCAGTTTTTGGTTTATATCTCTGAAACTAAAGCATTTAGAGCAAATCTGACTGTGGCAAAAATGTTCATCAGATTTAGATTTATCTGCCCTGAAATTTTCAGACGAATCCGACAACCCATTGATGGGTTGCTGCCCCTGAGTTAGTAATTTTACAAAAATTTTGCAGTTTTTTGTTATTATCTTAGATATCAGTATAATATCTAATTTCTAATACTATTAGTTATGATTTTAACCTTATTTTACATGATTTCCAAAGCATCAGTAAATACAGGTGAGCGACACAGGCTCTTGAGAGCCTCTAGTTTTGTTGAGCCTGCGACTTTTGTTGCAGAAAGCTTCACATAGGGATAGTGATCTGGTGGCGGTGTTTGCTAACTTCTTAAAAGCTTTATATTTTAGAAGGTGGAAGACCTGGATGCTTCATACTTTGTATATAGATGCCTTATGTTACGAAGTTTCTGTCTGTCATATTTCAATTGTCCTTGACCTCATTTTCATGGTTCAGTGGTCAAAGTTAAGTTTTTGAGTTTTGGTCTTTTTTCTTATATTATATGCAATAGGTCAACAATATTTGGTGTATTGAAATATTTTATGATGTACATGTCAGTCTCGCAGGTTTTATTTGACCTTGACCTCATTTTCATGGTTCATTGCTCAGTGTTAAGTTTTTGTGTTTTGGTCTGTTTTTAGCTCACCGGGGCCCAAAGGGCCCCATGTGAGCTTATGCCATCACTTGGCGTCCGTCCTCGTCAACTGTCGTCGTAAACTTTTTCAAAAATCTTCTCCTGAAACTACTGGGCCAAATACCTTCAAACTTTATTTAAATGTTCCTTAGGGTATCTAGTTTATAAATTGTATCCGAAGTTTTGATCCATCCACAAACATGGCTGCCATTGCTAAAAATAGAACATAGGGGTCAAATGCAGTTTTTTGCTTATATCTCAAAAACTAAAGCTTTTAGAGCAAATCTGACATTGGGTAAAATTGTTCAATTGTTCAAGATCTATCAGCCCTGAAATTTTCAGACAAATCGAACAACCCATTGTTGGGTTGCTGCCACTAAATTGGTAGTTTTGAGGAAATTTTGTAGTTTTTTGTTATTATCTTGAATATTATTATAGATAGATATAAACTGTAAGCAGCAATAATGTTCAGCAAAGTAAGATCTACAGAAAAGTTGAATGACCAAATTTGTCAATTGACCCCTTAAGGAGTTATTGCCCTTTAAAGAAAATTTTACACAATTTGTTCATCAAGTTTAAAAATCTTCTCCTCTGAAATACAGGTGAGCGATTCAGGCTCTTGAGAGCCTCTTGTTGAAGTACTATAAGCAATAGATCAACTATATTTGGTGTATGGAATGGTTGTAAGGTGTATATGTCTGTCTGGTAGGTATCATCTGACCTGGATTTCATTTTCATTGTTCATTGGTCAATGTTAATTTTTTGTGGTTCATAGGTCAATTTTAAGTTTTTGTATTTTGGTCTGTTTTTCAAGTACTTTGAGCAATAGGTCAACAATATTTGGTGTATGGAATGATTGTAAGGTGTCTGGCAGGTATCATCTGACCTTGCCCTCATTTTCATGGTTCATTGATCAATGTTAAGTTTTTGTCTCGCCTTGACGGAGTAAAAAAGCAACATAGGTATGCTGTTGCCGGCGGCGGCGTCAACAATGTATTAGTTTGTGATTAGGTCTAGTTTATGGTGAACCACTAGTAGGTCAATGATATTTGGTATGCAGTTGTATTAGCATTGACACATCTCATTTCCATGGAGATTATTTGGCCCTGCCCCTCAGTCATGGTCTGTTGACTTTGAAACTTTTGCTTAGTTTACATGTATTAGTTTGTGATTAGGTCAGTTAATGGGGAACCACTAGTGGTAGGTCAATGATATTTGGTATGCTGTTGTATAAGCATTGGCATATCTCATTTTCATGTAGATTATTTGGCCCTGCCCCCTCAGTCATGGTCTATTGACTTTGAAACTTTTGCTTAGTTTACATGTATTAGTTTGTGATTAGGTCAGTTAATGGGGAACCACTAGTGGTAGGTCAATGATATTTGGTATGCTGTTGTATAAGCATTGGCATATCTCATTTCCATGGAGAATATTTGGCCCCGCCCCCTCAAGCATGGTCTATTGACTTTGAAACTTTTGCTTAGTTTACATATATTAGCATTCATCTGACCTGAGTTTCTGTGATGTTTTTAGTTAAACCTTTATCTTTAAGACTTTCAACATAAAATCAATGGTCAGTAGAGCAGGCAAGACATTTCAGCGTGTGCACTCTTGTTTGTTTTACTAGCTGCATAAAGAGATCATGGTTTGTCCAGCTATCGCCTCCTACAGTTTTTGAGCTACAGCTTTACTATTTTGTAGATGTTAGATATTCACAAAAACTGGTAGTTGGACTTATTTTCTTCTCACTTTCTATATAATTTGTACAGACAGTGCAACAATTTCAAGTTGTACTTCAACATCATTGTTTGTCAAATCTAAAGTATGTGAAACTACTCATGCATATGGCAGAGAAGAGGAGGCATCGTCCATATCTAGTCATGCTGCAGCCATTTAATGGCTTACTATACGGTATGGTTTTTGCTCATTGTTGAAGGCCATGCAGTACAGCTATTTACATTCTTGTTCTTTGTTCTCTGGTGGATTGTCTCATTGGCAATCATACTTTATCTCCTTTCCCTATTTGTATTCATATCATAATGCATACACGTTATACTGAATATGCATGAAATATTTCCTGCTGGACAGTAAAGCAAACAGTAACCATATAAACAAATATACTATGAATAAAATAGACAAAAGATGATATATGTAAATGTCTTGCCTGTTGTAATATTTGAAAACCTATTGCTGTTATTTTTAAAATCTGAACTAAGGGTCAAATGTCGGCTGTCTGATAAAAAATTACTTGAAGTGATGAATTCTCAAACCAAATATTGTTGACCAGTCATTTACATATTCTGTGGAACAGACCACTTTAGTTAGTATGACATGAAGGTCATTGGACAAATATCAGATTACTAATGAGTTCAAACACCTACCGGTACATTCTTTTATCCGTCATACACAGTTATTAAAGAACAGCTATTTAAAGCTAGGTAAACGAGGAAAAACTCACTATTTGATAAAAGAAATTGAAATGAACAGATCTTGTAAGCTGCATTCTCAACTCTTTTTGAACAGAAGATGGCATTTTTGTGTCTCATACTGCAAATACTACTTCTATAGACATATTTGGCCTGTCTCTTGCATAATGAGGATGAATAGACCAAGTTCAAAAACATGTAAACCCAACCATGGGGGATGAAATGCATAAAGTGCTTACAATTAACTGTAGCTATTGTTTACAAATTATTTATTGTTACTTAGGAACATACCTCATCCAGCAATCCAAAATTTAAAGATGGATGAATATTCAACTCTCGACCAAACAACAGTGATCTGTCCCTCATAAGCTATGCCTAATAATGAAAATACATGCAGACATTGCCATTTGATCACTTGAATGTTCGTTTATATTTTAATTCTTGGAATATGTTATTCTATAATTTTTTCTATTTACAAAAGGAGTAGGCCCAGTAAGACCCCTTTTTGGCCCCAAAATATAGCAGTTTTACAAAA